CCCCAAAACCCCAAAACCCCAAAACCCCAAAACCCCAATAAGAACACGTAAGATTGAATAATAATAAAACTACATGAAACAAACTAATCTATTCGAATCTAATTTATGCCTCAACAACGGTTTGAATCTTAACTTTGTAATGCATCAAACTAAGCTGGCTGAAAAGAAAAATTTGCAGATGCTGAATCTTCCTCTTGTATATGTTGAGAAAGATTCAGTGATGGTACCATCTCTTCTTCCTCCTAATCATTTGATTTCTCAAAATTCTCAAAGAAACATAAATATCCAGAAAGGGAAAGATGACAATCAAGAGAGCTATCAGCCTAAAAAACAATGAGACTTAGCTAAAACATCACCTGAAGAATGAAAATTTATTTTTGACAAGCAAAGTATCTTTTCTGAGAATCAAAACAAGATATTAAAGAAATCTGATCAATGCAAAAATGTACAAAAATTTCCAGAACAAAATATACAGAATTTTTTCTATGACAAAGAGAATATGAAAAACAATAGAACAGATTCTAGTTCAAACTCTAACTTGTTAGACTTCCTTTATGAAGAACCTAAGCGAGACTGTTATGCTATTATCAAAAAATATGCACATTCACTCATCTGTAGAGAAGGTAAAGGCCCTTGCAGGAATAATAGAGTGATTCAATGAGACTATCAAGGCTGCAAGAAGAAGTTCAAAAAGACTTGGAATTTCATCGACCATGCCAGGATGCATCTTCAACAGAAGCCATACAAATGTAAAGTCTGTGGGAAAGGATTCACTCAAAGAGGAAATCTTAAGAAGCATTTGGAAATTCATCAAGGAAAGAGGCCTCACAAATAAAATAATCTTCTCAAAAAAAGTTAACCACAATTTATAACAGTGTCAAGAGGGTTTCAAATATTGCTGAATTTTATAATTATAGAACAACTAAGGTTTATAGTTTGGAGTCTTTAAGACATATTTAATTGAAAGCACGTATTTTCTCATGCTTTCTGAATCTTCAGATAAATTCATCAGATATTGAAGTTATTCTTCGCCTTGATTTTCATTTTTAGCCATATTATTCCAGTTTGGAATTCTGATGCTTGGATTTTCTAATAAAATCCCATTAACAATGATGTTCTTAAGGAATGTCATTCTTTGCACTTTGACAGTGGTTTCGAATGTTAGCCAAAGCGCTGGATTTAAAAAAATAAGATTCTTTAGTAGATATTTTTTCGAGGAAGAATGGAAATATAATAATTCTTGCCTCTCTTTGTATGGTATTTTGAATCATAAAGACATTTTAGAAGATCTCAAAAATATTTAAATAGTGTTTTAAATTTATTAATTTTTCAATCTTAGATATTCTTCCTGGGGTTTTGGGGTTTTGGGGTTTTGGGGTTTTGGGGTTTTGGGG